GCGAAAAAGGGAGTCGTCAAGGCTTAAAAAAGCAAGAAAAAGAAAGAAGAGGAGGAAGATGAGGAAGGCGAAGAGGATGAAGAGGAGGAGGATGAAGAAGAAGATGATGATGAATAAGTTGGTTCTAGCGCAGTTTTTTTTCCTTGTCTATAAAGCATTTAACCCCCCTGCATACAACTCACTCCTTTTAAAGAAAAAAAATTGAAATCTAAGGCTGTGTAAGATTTGTTTTTAAACTGTACAGTGTCTTTTTTTGTATAGTTAACACCCTACCGAATGTGTCCTGGTGGTATTTTCAGTAGCCACTAACCTTGCCTGGTACAGTATGGGGGCTGGAAATTGGCATGGAAATTTAAAGCAGGTTCTTGTTGGTGCACAGCACAGATTAGTTATATATGGGGATGGTAGTTTTTTCATCTTCAGTTGTCTCTGATGCAGCTGATACGAAATAATTGTTGTTCTGTTAACTGAATACCACTCTGTAATTGCAAAAAAAAAAAGTTGCAGCTGTTTTGTTGACATTCTGAATGCTTCTAAGTAAATACAATTTTTTTTATTAGTTCTGTTGTCCTTTTCATAGGTCTGAAATTTTTCTTCTTGAGGGGAAGCTAGTCTTTTGCTTTTTGCCAATTATGGGTCACATGAATTATTACATTGTTTATCTTTTCATATAATTAGCTGATAAAAAGCTTTTTGTCTACACATCCTGCATATCATGATGGGGGTAATAAAAGTTAAATTGAAAAAAAAAAAAGATATCCATGAATGATAACACAGCTTATAATCTGATTTGATGTGTGAAAACTTAAATGCTTACTGTAACTCAATTTTGAAATTTTAGTCCGTAGAGCATCTTACATAACTAAATTCATTCAAGAAAAACAGACTGGCTACCTGAAAGGGTATTAACTGCCATGATTATGGACGTCGGGAAAGCAGAGAGGAAGCAAGATTGTACATGGTGCCTTTTTACTAAGCTTTCTTCTGCAGCCTTCTTCTACCTCATCCTGGATTATTGCAACTGTGTCATCTCTGCACTTCCAGCCTTCCCACACTAGTGCACTTTAATGTTCCTGAAACAATGATTTCATTTCAACTTTAGCCTGCTGAGAACCCTTAATGGGTCTCCACTTAGCAATCGCTGTCCTCTGCTGCTGATGGTACATGTGTCATTGCAGGGCACAGGGGTCCACGCAGAGAGCCGTCCTGCCATTTAGTAGAAATACACTCTCCCTAAACCTCAAGTTTATCTCTAAGTGTGTATTGTTGTGACCTGCCTCAGACCCCATCGACCATACATGGGGTCTCTACCTTACTCATTTGGGATGGCAGGGCTTTTTCTTGAGTAATTTTGAATTCTGTTTCTCTTGATGACAAACACACACAACACAAAACAAATGCTGTTGTGCTAGTGAAATTCATTTACCCACAGTAAATCATTTTCAAGTATGGATTTTTAAAACAGCATAAATGATACGCATAGGAACAGAATGCTAGTAAATGTATACATTTTCAGGGAAAAAGGTATGAATACGCTCTTTGATAGAATGAAAATACAGAGTACCAAAAAAATCACTAGATAACAAAAAAAGACCATGTCCTTTAACAAGGTATTCAGTCCCTTCCAACCTTACGTCCCATTGCTCCATGAAAAACAAGTCCAATACTGACCTAGGGCCCAACACTGCCATAAGCACCCCATGTAATTCCTACAAGAAGCAGTGATTGTGTTGCTCTTCCCATTTTTCAGATGAGGTTTAATATCTTCCTTTAGGGTAAACAGCTAGTGAGTGATAGAGCTGGATTCCAACCCAAGTTTGTCTGACTCCAAAGCCAGTTTTTTTAACTTCTTTTCTGGCCAGATGTGTTGCTCTGCTCACCACCACCCTAACACCTGTCCATTTCTGCTGCTGTGCTTATGATGGCAATATTTACCCCAACTCAGAAACACTATCCTACCTGTCCATCAGAGTCTAATACTTCAGTGACATCCTGCAACCTCCAGCCTGCAATAATGCTACCTTCCCCTCACCTTTGTCCTGTCTTGCTTCAGGCTGTCATGTATCAGTTTGTGGGTGTTGTCTGCCCAACCAGGTAATTAGGTCCTGATGGCAGAAGCAATAGTAGAGCCAAAGCAGATCATCTGGAAGATTCCAGTGTTTTGTTTATATTTCTTTTTATCACCCATGGTGCTGTCTCTAGTAGACCACAGTAGTAAAAATAAACTGAGGGTTAGTTTAATAGCTCTTCACAGATAGTCAGAAGATTCTCTCCTCTGTCACTAAGGTAAGACAATTTACAACTCTGAGACTTGAAATTAAGCCCTCTACATTTTGAACAAACAACTTCTCTAAAGACAAATTTGGTAGTTAGCCAACTTTGTCATCACTTTTAAAGTGTTGAACTGAGAGAAGATAATTTGCCCAATTACAGTCTGTTCCTTGGCATTCGGGGTCACTTTCTGCATAGTAGACAGTGTAGCTACATTTCCTGAGTAACTGAGAAAGAACCTTGGCAAAGGAAAGGGGGGCATTGTACCCCAAAAAGAGGAGTCTTGAGTCTGTTTTCTAGATACAGGAAGAGAGGTTGTGGTCTCTTAAAAGGTGGGAGATCTGGGAGCTGAGAGGTTTTGTTCCTAGAGGTTGAAGGCTAAGGTGAGGGAGCAACACAGTACGTCCACTAGGGCTGAAAATGAGTTCAAAATAAGTGGTAACAGCCTACAACAAAAAATTTTGAGAACTGAAGCTCATCCTTCCTTCCTTTCTCCTCACAGAGCTCCTATTACACTTTAGTTCCCTTCTGGCATCTGATTTTTCATTTATTCTTGTATATTGTTTAGAGGAGACTACATGAATCAGAGGCATTGATTGGTTTTGTGTTTGTTTAAGAATTGATTAGGAAATCTCTATAATCCATACTGCCGTAACACTTTGCAGTGTTATGGTATGTTTAGAATAACTGATAAATACTAGACTTAATCCCTCCCAAGAAATAACAAGACATATAATTTGTAAGATAATTATGTTTCCAGTGAACAAAAAAGACTATAGGTATGAAAACAGCTTTAAAAATAGGTATATTTGGGGAGACAGTTAAAGGATTTTGACTTAAACGTCTTGTTAAAGAATGTGCAAAATCAGAATTAGGAAAACAATATCTAACAAAAAGCTTCTAAGGTGAAAATTTATGAGAGCATTTTATGGGAAGAAGATGAAATGTCTGAGCATTTGATAAAAAGAGCTTTTTCAAGAAGTTCAAAAACCTGTTCTGTTTCATTTCTTTTAATCTTTCATTCTTCATCAGTGGATCTCTCACATCCGGGGAAACTAGGTGGATTTACACAAGAAAACAACACCATAGATTCTGGAGAACTGGATATTGGCCGGAGAGCAATTCAAGAGGTTCCTCCTGGGATCTTCTGGAGATCACAGCTCTTTATTGATCAGCCACAGTTTCTTAAATTCAATATCTCTCTTCAGAAGGATGCATTGATCGGCGTGTATGGCCGAAAAGGCTTACCACCTTCCCACACTCAGGTAAGATGAGGCTCTGCCATTGATAAAATGAAAATTGCTAGTTGCATTTTGTTATTTCAAATTAATAGGAGGTACATACGATTAGGTTCCATTGTCTGTTTTTGTAAGATAAAGTCCAAGTTGTAGTCGAGTCCTTCACCTAGAAAATGTGCCATATGCCCATACATTGTACCTGTTAGGTGAGAACTTGCCAAGCCCCCTCTCTCCTTCTTGAGTTTACTTTCTTTCATGTGGGCCTGTAGTTGTAAATTTACTGTTTCAACTTAGTACTCAGTACATGGGATGCTTGTTTTTCCATTCTTAAGATACTTAGGAGAATGTTCTCCAAATCCATTCAGGTAAATACAAAAAAAGATACAAAAGCTCCATCTTTTTATGGCCGAATAGTCTTATGGCGTGTATATACCACAGTTTGGGATCCATTCATAGGTTGATGGGCACTTGGGTTGTTTCCACATACCTAAGGACACAATCAACAAAGCAGGTAGGCTACTTTCAGAATGGGAAAAGATGTTCAGATGTTATGAATCTGACAAAAGGCTAATAACCAGAATATACAGAGAACTCAAATCCATCAGAAAAGAACAAACAACTCCATTAATCATTGGGCAAGAGATATGAATAGAATCTTTTCCTAAGAAGACAGACAAGAGGCCAAGAAACACATGAAACAATGCTTACTGTCCCTAATCACCAGAAATATGCAAATCAAAACTACTTTGAGATGCCACCTAACCCCAGTGAGAACAGCCCACATCACAAAGTCCCAAAGCTGCAGATGATGGCATGGGTGCAGAGAGAGGGGAACATTTATATGCTACTGGTGGGATTGCAAACTAGTACAGCCTTTTTGGGAAAAAAAGTGTGGTGAATCCTCAAAGAACTAAAAGTAGACCTTCCATTTTATGCCACAATCCCATTACCAGGCATCTACCCAGTAGTTGCATTTTTTTTTTTAAGTTACTCTCTTTCTTCCTAAATTCAGCTATTAGGTTAATTGTTGAACTGCTTTTGAATTGATTTTTTATAGTAAAACAAATTTTGAATGTAGGTTATATATGTTTGGAGATTTGTGAATCAGTAGTAAGAATGATATTTTCTTTCTGACTTGTTTTGATCATTACTGACTGATTAAAATATACTAAATTATGTGAGTAACTTAATGAATATTGAACATCATCTGAGCACCTAGTAAGTCACCATGAATGTTCCAAGTGTTTTACAAAGATTTCTATAATTTCAGATGATTGCATTCCTTTCATGTAATAAATTCATAACATATTCATCTCACACATGTATTCATTCTGTTCAAAATGTATTTTTTAACTTATGCCAGATTTACTCTTAGTAAAGAAATTTGGAGAACATAAACATAAACGATGGTATGAACTTCATCAACTCAAGCTACTTATTCCTCGTCTAAAATGATTAACACTGAGATAAAGAGGCAAAAGAATTTTCATAAACAACCCCGTATGATCACATAAGTGTGATGCTCAAAACAGTCCAAATAATCCTCAGGGCTGAAGAATTCCAGAGTCAGTTCCCTGGCATAAAATTTGGCACACAGTAACGATCCCACATGGGGAGCCACAGTGAGTTTCTGTAATCTAACACAGGACAGGGTCACAGAATGTAAGCTGCAAATTGTGGCTTAACATAAGTTCCATTATGTTGAAGAGAAATTATTTCAGTTACCTACCATAAAATTAGAACTGAGACATTTCTCAAGATTAGCTATTATGTTTGTAAATAAAGGAATTTCAAAAATGTAATAATTGGTTAATTAAAATTGACAGTTAGATAACCTTAAAAGTTATATTGGATAATTACCCATGGAATTTCATGCTAATTTAGTTTGACATGTAAAATAAAGATTTTCATTTATGCCTTAGATTATGTAATGTTATGAGAAACACTTTCTATAACCTAGGAATATAATAAGTTATGAAGAAAAGTAATCATATACTAATAAAAATTATATATTTAAAATGAGTAAAGAAAATTTCAACATGATTTTTCTAACATAATTGTGAATTTGATTCATAGACAAATATAAATTTTTTGGCTGAAAATATTTTGAGTATCAGGCTTTAATGTATTCATTTTTCTTATTTAACATTTTTAATATCTATATTATTAAAGGAAATGTCTTCCTCCTTGCATAGTAAATGTTTCTTATTATGTACTAGTGTTCAACTTAAAATTTTAGATTTGAATCCAAGTAATGTTATAGTTGACACCGACTGGGATTTAATAACCAGATTTTCTTAAATCTTAGTGATCTCTAAAACATTAAATATAACAGATAAATTGCATTTATAGCAATTATCCAGTAAAGTATGAAAGAATATTTTTCCTCTGAAACTACAGACATAGATTATACATGATTTGTGTATAATTAAAAAAAAATGCCTCTAAGCTGAACACAATAGCGAGCATATAATTATAAATTCCAGAAAATTATTTGAGATAAAAACTGTCTATTGTGGCTCAGTGCCCATAGCTCAGTAAGTAGCACACTGGCCACATACATTGGGGCTGGCAAGTTCGAACCTAGCTCCGGCCCGCTAAACAACAATGACAACTGCAGCCAAAAAATAGCCAGGCATTGAGGCGGGCACCTGTAGCCACCTACTCAGGCTGGGGCAAGAGAATTGCTTAAGCCCAAGAGTATGAGGTTGCTGTGAGCTATGACGCCACAGCACTCTACCAAGTGTGACATAGACTCTGTCTCAAAAAAAAAATCCTGTCGATTGTGTTGTACTTAAACTGATAGAGGCCATCTATAGCAAACCCACAGCCAATATCACATTGAATGGAGTAAAATTGAAACCATTGCCACTTTGGAACTAGACAGGGATGCCCATTGTCACCACTGCTATTCAACTTAGTAATGGAAGTCTTAGCCATCACAATCAGGCAAGAGAAGGCAGTCATGGGTATCCAGATGGGATCAGAGGAGATCAAATTCTCACTCTTCACAGATGATATGATCTTATACCTGGAAAACCCCAGGGACTCAACCACAGAACTGTTAGAAATGATCAAGGAACACAGGAGCATCTCAGGATACAAAATCAATACTTACAAATCTGTAGCTTTTATATATACTAACAGTAGTCAAGCTGAAAATGTAATCAAGGACTCTGTTCATTTTACAGTAGTGCCAAAGAACATGAAATATCTGGGAATTTACCTAACAAAGGATGTGAAAGATACATGGTATATGTACACCATGAAATACTATACAGCTATAAAAAAGATGGAGACTTCTTTTATGTTTACCTGGATGGAGCTGGAACATATTCTTCTTAGTAAAGTATCTCAAAAATGGAAGAAAAAGTATCCAGTGTATTCAATACTATTATTAAACCAATATATAATTACCTACATATTCATATGAATGATAAAACTATAGTCAAGAAAAAAGGAGGGGTGGGGGGATTCCAGGAGGTAGGAGGGTATTTGATGGGACTCCACCTAATGTGCATAATGGAATGGTACATTTCAAAACTATTTTTAAATTTTTTTTTTATTTCTTATAGCATAACTGTGTACATTAATGCATTCATGGGGTACAGTGTGCTGTTTTCATATACATTTTGAAATACTCTCATCAAACTGGTTAATATAACCTTCATGTCATTTTCTTAGTTATTGAGTTAAAACGTTCATACTCTGCTTTT